AGCTAACAGTATTCAGGCCAAAGTTAGACGCCTCTATCATGGGCAAAGCAAACTCCGCTCATCGCCTCCAAAATAATATATATTCCCCCCCACCAAAAATGTTTATAATTCCTGTTGTCAAAGTCTCAAAATCTAGACCCACCCTCTTCAGAATATGCATAGGCTGCATATTATTATTATTATTATTATTATTATTATTATTATTTCCATGATTTCTGCCACCTTCAATGCCAGCTTCATCTGGCTCTTCTGGGCACAATTCAATGCATGCCAGGTAGGTCATTTTATACAACATATTTTTAATACACAGGGATTGAGGATTTTATTGGCGTGCCCGATCGGCTTGGCACGGTGTGCCCAAAACATTTTCCAAAACATCTCTGCCAGCGTCCCTGTTTCACATGGATGAAAATATTGATGCAACGTGCTGACTTTTAGGTCAAGGGTTTAACCTGCATGCCTCTATGCCACTTTGTAGGCAACATAGTTTATCTTTGCAAGCCTGTGTACCCCTGGTCTACTCAGGTTTGACCCAAATAGGACTTGCTCCAAGTTAGCAAACATGCACCGAGTGTCATTCTTAATCTTGAAACAGCAATGGTGGAGGATAGGATATATATCTTGAACCCTCTCCTCTGGAAAGCTGCGAAGTTATCCCATACTAGGGTTGCCACTTGATAGTCATCCTGAAGTTTATTCTCCAAAACCTGAGCTCTGCACTGCGGCATTAATGCAGTGTGATACCTGGCTCTATGCTCTGGGATTTATAGTTTCTTCTTTGTCAGAGTGTGCTGGTGCCACAACAGGCTACAAATCCCAGGTTTCCATAGGTGACCCTTCTGGTTGCTTCCAACTCTATGATTCGACAGATCTCATGGCCAAGATGGGATTCGGACCCTGGACTCCAGAGTCCTTGTCCAGTGCTCAAACCACTGCGCCGCACTAGGTCTCAAAGAGCTTTTTATTCCAAAAGGCTTTTAAGACAGACTGTTCTTAAAGAACCGGCTGCATTGTTTTAAACCAAACTGTTAAAAAAAATTCTTTAAATTAGATTTGGTTCAATTTGAGGTTTGCATAGTTTGAGGTTTGCATAGTTTTAATACTGCAAATCGTTTCATTCCGTGTTAATGTTCAGGTGTTGTATGTTTCCAGTTGTGTTGTGCTTTTAAACTGCAAGCTGCTTTGAGACCCAATTTTTTTTGTGGGGGGGAAGTGGGATAGAAGTAAATATAATCATCATCACCATCATCATCCTTATTCTATCAGAGTCGGAAAAGAGACTTGATTTGGAGCATCGCCTCCACACTGCTGTCCTGAAAATAGTTTCTCATTGATAAGGAATGAATGCCAGGGGCAGGTCTTGTACAAACAAGGCTGGGGTGTTTTCTTCAAAGGTATCTGTTGGCACATGTGCCACATTCTTGTACCTCTTAAAACACGTGCTCCTGGTACTTTCTTCTTGTTGCTGGCCTCATGCCACCTTACCCAAAATAGCAGCTGTGCCCTTTGACCAGAAATATTTAACCTTTGGATGCCCAAATGTTGTGGGACTGCAACTCCAGACCGTTTAGAGGGCGTGGAGTTGCCCTTTACAATCTTGCTTAATCCTCTGCCATCCCACTTTCCCAGCTGTTTTTACAATGTCCTGGTTTCTCTCCTCCTCCCACTTTCCTCCCCAGTTTCCTTGAATTGCTGCATACTGAGTTGAACGTGCAAAAGTAGTTTGTTGTTGTGTGCTTTCAAATCATTTCAACTTAAGGTAGCCCAAAGGCGAACCTATCACTGGGTTTTCCAGGGTCAAGAGTATGTGACTCACCCAAGTGGGTTTCCATGGCTGAGCGGGGAATCAAACTCCAATCTCCAGAGTCGTGGTCCAACACTCAAACCATTGCACCACACTGACTCTCTCCAGTGATAAATATATCAAGAGGACTCCCCTTGTGGGCATAGACCTTGTATGTTGTAAAATCAACCACTGTAAAAATAAAAGCACAACGACACACAATTGTGATGCCAACAAAACCTAGCTTGCAGAACTCCAGGTTGTTTATTGAAGGAAGAGTCAGAACAGGATCATAGCCTGTGAGCACAAGGCAAGCAGATACTTTGAAGCTGGGCCTTCCAGTGGTCCTCCTATTCTCAGCCCTTACGCCTGACTTGTCCACCTGGAAGCCTTCCAGATGTGTCAGCCTGCAACTCCCAAAAACTCCTGCCAATATTGCTTGGAGTGAAACACAACTGCAAGGCCCAAGCTTGGAGAGACGTTGCTCAAAGCACCACATTTCCCTTTACCTGCTCTACCAAGTCCCACCAACTCAGCTTGCAAGCCATTCCTGGCCTTCACTCATCCATCCCTATGCTTAATACTGTCTATTTTTCTTTTCTGGCAGGTACAGAGCAACCTGAGACAGGATCCAGGGCTCATGCAGAGATGCAGCCTGTCCTTCCATATCCATACACCTTTCTGCTGGTCAGAAGTTGGAAAGAGAGAAGGTTCCTGTGGCCCTTTGTCTCCAAACTTTGTGTGACAAACCTTCCCAAGGACTACGAGAGGCTAATATTGGTTAAGCAACCTTTCAAAAAAAGAGATTTCCTTTTTCTTCTGAAGAACATTGGCTACAGAGAGAAAGCCTAAAAGGGTCCAGGATATGCTGCCTTCAAGGTAGACTTCTTTTGTCAGGACAACTTATCAGGTGTATTTTCTCTGCACAGGCATGGAGAAAGCAAGGAGAACAGACATATATATATATAAATATATATGGACAGGTTGCTTACCTGTAACAGTATTTCTTCGAGTGG